GCTATTTAATGACGAGGATCGTTGCAGAGGTAACCCCCCGCACGGTTGAGAACCGTACTCTCCGCTTTGAATACCACTGTAGTTTCTGGAAGTTTCGCACTCGTCTTGGACATGGCCCAAAACACACTCAGTTTCTGCACGTCGTGGTCGCTTGTTTGCAAGTGACGCGACCTTGACCACGATAGCCGCAGCGGCCACAAAGAGGAACCCTATTCTGGGTTCGACTGTCATCCTCCATCCGAATACCGCACGCCCGAAGACCTTCAGACTGGGCCTCTCCGTTCGTGGTAGGAACGGTTGTTGAGATAGCAGACATCACACGACCGCGGTCACAAGGGGACCGAGATGCACTCCATCGATTCTGCGCCAACTGTTGATATCACTGTTAAAGTTGCTGCATGAAACCCTTCTACTGTTGTGCCAACGCATCCACGGAAGCTGCATCCACATCCGGAAGTGTCGTTACGGATGAATATCATCAATTCTCCGACCCTTCTTAATTTTAGTATTGGTATTAATCACCAATCATCCATTTTTATTTATTAGACAGCCAATCGTACGGTCTTGACAAAATGATTTGGCCAATCCAAATGGTAAGGGTTAGGATGAACGTCGTTGGAGTTGGCTTTGACATATCGGGTCGGAAGGGACTCAGGAAATATGGATATGCTCTTACAAATTTCAATATGTAGGCATATCACATGCATAAGTCATTTTTCCGACTTCTCCGACCAGTGCAATCATTACCACACGTTAATTTTAAATCTAAGACTTATTATACTACTAGTAGTAAATTTTAGAAGAGGTGGGAAGCAGCGCCGCAGGGAGCTTGCTCGTCATTAGGAGCAATACATGCAACACGCCTGCGTGGAGATCCATTATTTCTGTATTACGTAGAGCATTATGTAGCAAGCGTCAATTAAATGTACATGTATTGCATTATTAGTACTTGAAGCGCTCCGGCTCGCTGCCTCCTGTGCACCGCCCTGCCACCACCGCCCTGCCACCGCACTACCCAAGCCCTGCCACCGCCCTACCACCGCATTGCCACCGCACTGCCGCCGCACTGAGACCGCCTTGCCACCACCCTACCACCGCTCTGCCGCCGCACCGCCGCCGCCTCCCTCCTTTTTTATGAATACATTTTCGATGTGGCCCACAGTTAAAAAAGAAAACTTAATAAATTTGTTTTAAGGGCTACTGACTTAGATGTACCACCCTTTTGGTACAGGTCGGAGATTGTCGGAGGTTGGAGATTTTATGTTAGGGCGTGTTCGCGTTGTGCCTGGAGATGGAGATGGTCCCATCTCACTAAATACGTCTAACAATTGATTGGCCAAAAACCTTTTGTTACAACTGCACAACTGGAGTTTAGAGGTGATATCCTTCTCCACCTATTGGAGGTGGAGACAGGAGACGGAGGTAGAGACGAGAGGCTCACAATTTGTTATGGAGGAGGACATTGAAAACGTTTTGCTAGCTGTGTGTGCTGCAGTAGGACAAGCGGCTGTACTGCTTATAACTGCTGTACGTATAATGTAGCGCTAGACTCATACACAGTACCTTTGACTTGCACTGGGTAGCATCAACCTCGAGGCCACCAATACGGTGAGTCTCTGCAGCTAGATAATCCCACGGAGCACTCAACTGCTTCGAGTTCTTAGTGCCATCAAACAACCCCTTCAGGCTATCGAATCGCAATCTCAGCAGCACCTCAGCCGCATTTACTGTCCACGCAAATGGGTGCTTTGTCTCGTTCCTGCCTTGATTCCTGCAGCGTGGTGCGCTCTGACCACTGCTGGTACGAGTGTGTACCGGTATGATAGCTGCGTCGTCCTCTGGTTGAGTGGCGTCTTCAGACCTTAACTGCATCATTCTTTGTTCTGCAGGAGAGCGTGAAGATGAGGATGTGACTTCTCGATTCTAGGTTGTGAGTGCCGTCTCCACACATGGTATCGGCACCTGATTGGTTTAAAGTGCACCTGGAGAAGGATACGTAGCGACACAGCTGGAGGTGGAGATCGTAGGACACCACAATCATCTCCATCTCCAGGCACAGCGCGAACAGGCCCTTATGGTCCCGCAATACAGAGGCGCTCTTAATGTGTGAGCTCCCACATCAAGACACACTTGGCGAGAGCACTTCTGGCGGGACAGAAAGGAATGCAGCAGTCGGTTTCACAAGAGCAAGGAGCTCAAGACTAAGTGCGAGGAGACCTCAAGAGCAAGATTTCACAACAACAAAAATACATTCAGAGCATGCGTGAGCTCCGTGCCTGTACAATTAAATATCATAGCTTCCCAATTGACCTTTTAGAGCATTTTAGAAAATGTGTGAGTCCCGTGATGGGCTGAGTTGCTCTCGGACACCCTCTGCATACTACTAACATTACCGGAAGGGTTGTACGGTATCAAACAGACCTGGGCAACCACTCAACAGGATTGAGGCATAATCTTTGACGTACCCAAGTAGCAACAGCGCGATGCGGCGTCTGAATTACCATGTACAGCTGCTTGGTCACCAGCGGTGCTAGTTTGGCCCCGCGGAACATAAGCTGAGGGCTGTAGCAAGTCGGCCAAGGGAAGGGCCTAAACAAAAGCTGACTGAGCCAACAAGCTGCCTGGCGCGACGATACCCCTAAGCTGTTTGTAATTCGAGGAGCCGGGATGAAAATAACAGTGGTGTGCTATATTCACAGATGGCTTCTGAAATAGTACTGGAAAGTAAAGCCCAGGGCTCTATTCGAATACCACGTTGCTTAAGCTACCGTGTCCGACGCTCTCTTGCCTTGCTTGGCCTTCACGCGCTTGACGTTGGTTTTGCACTCTCATTCATGCCAATTGCACCTGCGCGGTACAGTCCCCTCCCTCACTCGTCTCGCCTTTCGTTTCCTCGGATCCGGAGGCTTCTTTAGCTTCCACGCCTTCCTTAGTCTAGAGCCGACCATCACTAACACCTGGCTGTTCGTAAAGTTCGTATTTCTTTGCCGGATTCCGTCTTTCTTACCACTGGGTCCCATTAGGAACATGGCCACCGCCATTGCAGGTCTCACCGTATTGACGTGACACTTCGCGCGCCCCCATCCTTCACCAATGTTTACACCTTCATGCACATCATCACGGCGTCTATACGCATCCCGGCGTTCTTTCCGTTCAGCATCGTCGCTATTTGCACAGCTTCGACTGCTGCATCATCGCCCCGTGCCCATCCGTACAGAGTCCGTTTCTGACTGAGGATCACTTGTCGCAGTCGTGCGCCGTAGTCCCCTTATTGCTTCCGTCACTAGTTTCCGCCGGCTTGACCAGCTGGTTGCGCTTCTTCCTGCGATCGTCGCTGCGTGTCTTCGTCTCGGTGTTTGGGCAATCGCTTGCAAAATGACTGAACTCCTTGCACGCGAAATATCCTGTTTCGTTCGTCAAGCCGCCGACCAACGCTCGGGCTGACCACAATTGAAACACAGGGACGGGCTAGTGCTTGCGCTCGTATTCGGTTTTGACCTCTCTATCTTTAAACCTGATGACTGTGCCTGCTTCACAACCGCCTTCCGTCTCTTCCTCGAGGGTTTCACGTCCAAGTCGTCGCCACCGTCGTCAGCATCGCGTGGGCTGCGTGTTCTCTTCTCTAATTTCTTCCGACCGATAGGACTGTTGGACCTGCGCTGCACGCTTTCACTCTGCCTTCGTCTCTAGCAATATATTCCGCCACCTATATGCCCAGGCAGCATGTTCCACGTTCCGAAATAGTGGCCCCATACGCTCTGTGGAATGGTGAGGAGCGGCACAGGCCATGCCTCGCCATCGGCCATCATTGCGTGATTTTCCGCGGTCATAAAACTAAAAGGCAATCTTATGCCGCCGATTCCAGGGACGACCATCATTTATCCCGTAGTTCCAGCCATCGGGATGAGATATGGGCTTGGCGCAGTTGCCGGAGCTTGTTCGATACTCCACATTCCGTGTGCGACATTGTCCAGCGGGTCGTCAATCTTCGTCGCCTTGGCCACCGCGCGTTCCAGCGTCCTTAACTTCGGGGACAGCTGCACCAGTTTTTTTGTCGTCTTATTCAGGCATCTGTAGAGCTGGGCGAATAGGACTCTCTCATTCAACGGTCGATTTGTCGAGACATTCGCCATATCGCCTGAGCAACGCCTTCTTCTGATACGTCCACGTTTTCTAGCGATCCGGTAGCCGTCGATCCGTGTTGACTTATCATCGCGCTGCGTTCTCCATCAACGTGCTGCCTAGGATGAAGTACAGTGTCGGGTCCGTCCACGTGCCGCCGCCCGACATTTCAGCTCCCCCTAATACTAAGCCAACCCTGTCGATCGAGGTCGATACTGACACCTTAGGCGACGGTGTAAACGCAGGCAGCTCCATGTCCTTAACGATCTTCCGCTTAAGGCGCTCCCGCTGTCCACGCCCGTCTCGCTAATCCCATCGGCTATTTATGCTGTTTCTGGTGTCTCCTTTGCTCTTGCTGCCGATGTGACTGGCCCAAGTCGCTGTCCGTGGCGAACGATCTTTCCTCGTCGCTGTTCTCGCTACTCACCTCATCATAAGAGATTTTCACATCGCTCGAGCTGTTATCTTCGCTGCTGGGGAGCACCTTGGTGGTTGAGTCGTCATTATCGTTGGTTCCTTAGGCTCTATCGTCACCGTCGCATGGGCCGGATGAACGGCTACAGCCTCCACATCGTACAGCTCTGCCGTCACCCTCGCTGTCCTCGCTGCCCTCGCTGTCGCCCTCGTGTCGATCAACATGTCTACATGGATGTCGTACTGCTGCGCCATCTCCCCGTTGCTGGTCGTGAACGTCGCCCGCCGCGGTCATCGGCCCCGACTCCCGGATTAAGTGCCACCATTAGCTCCTTTAATTTATTAAAGGCTGCTGCAATCGCCGTTACGTCCGGCTGAGCAGTCCCATCCAATCCAGCGATGTTCGAGCCGTAACCTACCTGTGGGCTATCAGAATGTGGTAATATTTCGTCATCACGCTACGGTTACTCGTATCGTACGACAGAAGCATCGTTGCCTGCCGTCGCCTTGCTGCTCCTCGAGTCCAGCGTCACAGCCACCGTACTCGATGCGGCATCATCTTTGCGTGATCTGAGCACGACGCTCATATGTGGCTCGCTTTCAACATCTCTACTTCGTTCCTCGCTGGCGTGGGACGCACTTCGTTTCGTCAACCGCATCTTGATCTTACCTGGCGCGCTTGGGGAGACTCTACAGGCATAGTCTTGGACATTGTTCTCGTAGCAGTCATCGTCTCTCGCTGCACACACTAATACTTGTCTTGGGGCCCCAGTATGACCACCCTGTCACTGGCCAATTATCTCGTCCGGCCTTGGGGCGAGTCATCACACCACAACGCTGCACTACGGCTTCCGCTTCGTCAAGAATTACGACTTCTAGATCGAACAATACACAGTACTACCCGATTGATCCTGAGCCGGAATGTCCATTACTTTTGCTCGCTCCTACTTTATTATAAACAAAAGACATCCTTAGCCACTTGCAAGTGCTGCCTACACTTACCCTTCCGTCTCACCCACGCCGGATTTCTCGTCAGCACGCGCCCGACCTTCATGCTCGTCTACTCGACGCGCTATTTCCAACAGAGTAGATTTGAACCCCGCATGTTCCCAACAGGGCAGAATCTCAGCTGAGCGACCCTCACCGCTTCTCCGCACCCGACCACTGGATTCATCGGGATGTGCAGGAAGCACGTGCTGCACGATGATGCCACTTGCATCATTCGCACCACTCGTCGCGCCACGCAACCTAATATCTTTCCATACTTCGCTTGGGATCGCCCGGGCACGGCAAGTGCCACTCATGCATCCCATTCTGGCTACACTGTGGCCCATGACCTGTCAGCCCGTTACATTGTAGCAGCAAGTGCTCATCCATCCTTCTATCGTCCTAGTCGGCTTGCTTATGGTAGACTGCAGCGTCTGATCCGCTACACTTGTTTTTTATGCGACCAGCTGAGGCAGTTTCATCCCCTTAAAGGACCGTTGCAAAGACCACAAAGACACTTCTGTTAGTTTTACAGTCTATCTAGATGCCCTAGCATTATTCCAAACGCACGCTTTATCTCAGCATCCTGGCTCTTGTAGCCACCCACAAGCTTACTAGGAAATCGAACCGCTTGAGGAGACTTTGTGATGGGGATATTGGGGATCGTCGAAATATGTTTGATGCATGACTTTGTCCGATAGACCTGGCAGGAGAGCGCGTGATAATCACAGATAAAAATGGTCATTTTACAGAGGGTGCGTCAATTTTACAGATTGTATGTAACTTTCACAGGACATGCCTCCTTTTCACAGACCGAGGATCCCATCTGCCTTAAGGGAATATGTTACTTAACTTCATTAAAAAAAACTAAACTAGTAATAAAAAGGAAGTCACAATCCAACATTCACCGCAGTGCTATACATACCGAAAATCGAGATAGCGCCGCTGTTCGTGGTGTGTGCTGCTCTCACCTGCGGTTGCCTCCTGCGCCTTGCCGAAGGTGCGGGACTGTCTGCAAGGGCACCGCTAAGTCTTCGCCAACCAGTAGAAGACATTCGACCTCTAGGACGTCGCATGCGAAGACCAGACGGTGTAGTTTTGCAGAATGTTCGTTGTCTTCCTCCGCCATATCCGATTTGCAACCGCGTGTTATCACTAACCAATCTGAGATACATGCTCCGGAGTGTTCCAAGTTTGCAATACAATCGATTCGGAACCTACTGACAGCAAGAAAACGCTATACTACCTAGATACATCAGTATTCAAATATGAGGCCGATTTAGATCCTTGGGTATTACGAAGTAATTAATAAATGCGTACAACGACTATTTATAAATAAAGATATTTTGTGTGTCGTTACGAAACGATTATTTACAAAGTCCTTGTATTCTCCATTAGCTAAAGAAACAAATGAAGTACGAGTGGAACTTTGTAAGCTTCTATGAAAACGAAGTGCAGCTAGAAGATTATCTCGACGCGCAGAAGACATGGTGTAAGAACAAGCGTCAGCTGGAGACATGCAGTGTTTGTGAATACAATCTCGACATTCACTTTATGCGCTATCGGCTTTTCATTTGCTCCGACGAAACTTGCAAGCTGTTAGGGTCGTGTAAGTGGGTCTTGAAAGCTCTGCAGTGTCAGATCACCGATAAAATCAGTGTATTTCAAAATTCACACTACTTGTCAGTCTCACCTGCATATCGTAAGCCCGGGGATCTGAATTGCGCAATGAAGAGATACATAAAGAGCCAGGCCGAGGTCGAACTGAAGCCGGCCACAATAATGCACAAAACGGCTGTTGATTTGGGCCTGCCGCAGACCAATCCAAAAACACTTCTGCCAAAAGTACAGTGTTTTGTACGCACCTACAGAAACAAAAGTAAAGTGGACAATGATTTCGTCGATGTGATGGTTGCAAACGCTGTTAAACATCGTTTTCGAGATGGCTGCAGCGAAACCACACCATTTACATTTGGATTTTTACATGATAGCAATGGAGAAGCTCTAATTGGTAAAGGAACTGAAGATAGCCCTCTAGTTGTTGGGCTTTCGACCAAATCACTGGTCAAGAGACTCGGTCGAGCATCTGAATTTATTTTTCACTTGGATGCCACTTTTAAACTTAACACTAGAGGTTTTCCGGTTATAGTTATGGGTCTATCAGATATGTGGAGACAATTTCACCCTGTGGCTTTCTTTTTAGTCTCCGATCTAAAGAGCCCCCAATGGACTCGAGCAATTCGGGTATTGCTGGATTCGTATTACGACATTTCATCACAGAGTGTATCGTTTGGATTTGTGATGATGGATGCAGATAATGCTCAACGAAATGCATTTGAAAGTGTGGCTGGTGCTATTCTCGCTTCAGATAAGCAGCCAACGTACTTGATGTGTTTCTTTCACGTGATGTCAAATGTTAGAAAACATACCGTGGGGTTCGCGGAGGCAAACAAGAGAATTGTATACAGACATGTATACAAAATTCACTACGCGCGAACCTTGGCGGATAAAAAGAGTCGCATCGACGATGCTCTGGAATCATGGAAGGTTAACACCGACTTGCAGTCATTCTCCGAGTATTTTTCGGCTCAGTGGCTGGAGGGGCGCTACAGTAAATGGCAGTGTCTGGAAACTCCGACTGGAATGGCAAAAACTAACAACCCGTGTGAAAACTTCAATCGTCAATTGAAAACCACTCGTTCTATGCGCAGATTACTTCATTTGAACCCTCTTTTTTCATGGAGCTACTTAAAGTGAGCCAGGCAAGATCAATTTTGACAGCTACTTTTGCGACATCGACACGTGCAGCACCCCACATTATTAGAGACTTCAGAAAATTAAAGAGAGAGCGGCGTTTAACCATTACTAGTTCAGCTCGCATGAAAATTGTTTTTTTTTTTCTTCTGGAATCGGGGCACAGTATGGGAGAATTTCGTGTTCAACAACTAAAAGGAGCTCCTACCGATACTCGAAAACAGAAAACAACTGAAGAAGAGATTGAAACCACAACTGACCAGGAGCTTGAAGCTGAAGAACAGTGTACTTTGGGATGGATTGTGACAGCTGAGAACGGACTTTGCGATTGTAGAACTATGTTCAAACTGGGCTCATGTGTTCATCTCATGGCTGTTAAAGACACACTAGGTATTTCGCTCGCAGAAAGATCCGCCCGTAGAGAAACCTTTCCGGATAAGAGACCCCACAAAAAACGAGGACGCCCAAAAGACGTTGGTCTCGCTTTAAGTCTTTCTTTAAAAAAACAGTAAAACACCATACGTCTTTGAATCTTTTGAAATTTAAGATGTTGCCAAGCTTTTAAAAGAAGTGAGCTATGAAATCTCCATTCCATGCGCTTTCCCAAAAAAATCGAACGGTACCTGTTAAAATAGGTTTATCGAGGTCCTCTGTTGTGGAAGTTTTTGTCATTTCATCTTGTGCGTCTTGAGCGGCCTCCTGATAAGCCGTCGATTGCTCTGGCCAATATTGCGACCCGTATGGCCTTGCTGGACCAGAAATTGGCCGAAGCTTTGTCGAACGAGATCAGTACGACGAGTG